CTATGCCCTCCCCCGACCCTCCATCTGCGATAGTGGGCGTGTCCTAACAATGATGTGTACGCAACTGCGTGTCTGCATATCTGCGCCTAACAAATGTGGTACTACGCACGACTGAAATTTTACGTTTATAATCGTAGCAACAGACCTCAGATGAGCCCAGACGCTCTGCGGCTCTTGTTATTATATATAACAGCACTATATGTTCGTAAATGTGATGGTCCGTGAATGACCAAACTTTAATGAAACTGCACTTTTGAAAGAATCCCCGTCATTCAGAAACCCACACAGACTGCAACAACCTGGGTAAATTGTGCATCTTAAATTCTTACCTGATCATTTATATTCTAAATTGTTTTAAACCCATTTGTGAGTTTTGGTCACAATGATATGCAGTGGCTTCCCAGCGGCCACATGCGGAGTTAAACAATTTTGTTTGTAATTAAGTTTTTGGTGAAGTTACTGAATAAGATTTATTTCTTTTTTTTATGTTGGTAAAATATACAGCTCAATTGTGAAAATAAGGTAAATATCTGCTTTCAAATACATAAATCCCTGGTGCCCATTGTTGGAAACAAAATGGTCTTATTAACATTAGTCTTAACAGTTAACACTAACTTTGACTCGTAGACCGTTGACAAAAAGATTGTAAAGTTACTAGAATAAAAAATCCTAGCAAATTTCTTTTTAGAATGACAAGATCCTAGACCCTCTCGTAACTTTGAAACCAAGATGAAAATAATGCAATAATGTAAATAAGAATTGCAATTCTAGGAATATTATATTTTATGTTGATTAGTAAAACCTGTATTTTTCATGAGAAACACGTCACAAACACTACTTATGTACCAATCGTGTACCAAAAACAAACATTTATGTGGCGATGGTTCTCTTGTTATGGATATTTTGATGAGTCATGATGCTCTCTTTTTGTGTTGATATCAATGCTGCAAATGATCAATTTCCTGTTGTCTTTAAGTTTTCTCGTAGCTGCGATGCGTATGCATTCTCTGTCATTGCTATTCTCATAACATTAACATTAGTCATAAGTGCAAATATCGGCATTAACGTTAACCTTAACTTTATGATCTTTCTGACAACATGCCCTGTGTGTATACCATAATGCAGAGGATATCTATAGGGCATGACATTGGGATTTCAAATAGATTTCTTTGAACCTGTTTAATATTGTAGACTCATATATTGTAGATTGCATAATTTAAATACAAATTTCTAAGCAGTGTATCTACTCTAAAATTCATATTGCAATTTAGCCTACTCACAGTATTTGTAAAATGCTACTTTGCATATTTAATATATAGTTATTTATATTACTATGATTTATGAAAAGTTATCATTTGTTTTAGATAAAGGTACTTTTCTTTGCGAAAAGTCGAGAACTTGTGGGGAAGAAAGAGAGCACAGTTCTCCTCTCAGGGCAAATCCCAACGAGGCAACTTAAGGCAGAGCTGTTGAAAGAATTTCCAAGGTATGGGTTTATGTCTCCTGACGTAGATAAATAGTCAACGTTGTGTCAATGCACGTTTCAGATGTATGCTTCTAATTAAAGCTATGCCACAGTCAGTGTGTATGCTTATTGTGACGAGCATATTTGATGACAGTTTACAGGTAATTGAAGCCAACCTGGTGCTGGCGGTGAACCAGGTATATGTGGATCTTAACAGCGACGAGGTCTTGAGCCTTTCACAGACAGATGAGATAGCTGTCATCCCACCCATTAGTGGAGGCTAACCATTATAAAACTGCAGGTAAAAATTTGTTCAGTGTTAGTCGGCCCCCCGGAACTCTAAGGCTTGTTGCGTGTAGCACTAGCAGTAATGACCTGCTGCTCTAGATTGCAGTCTAGACGGTCACGCTAGTGTAGGTACATCACACAGTATCCTGATTTAGTTAGTGTAGGTAGTAGGTACACCACGCGGTATCCTGATTTAGTTAGTGTAGGTAGTAGGTACATCATGCAGTATCCTGATTTAGTTAGTGTAGGTAGTAGGTACACCACGCGGTATCCTGATTTAGTTAGTGTAGGTAGTAGGTACATCATGCAGTATCCTGATTTAGTTAGTGTAGGTAGTAGGTACACCACGTGGTATCTTGATTTCGTTAGTGTAGGTAGTAGGTACATCACACAGTATCCTGATTTAGTTAGTGTAGGTAGTAGGTACATCATGCAGTATCCTGATTTAGTTAGTGTAGGTAGTAGGTACATCATGCAGTATCCTGATTTAGTTAGTGTAGGTACATCATGCGGTATCCTGATTTAGTTAGTGTAGGTAGTAGGTACATCATGCAGTATCCTGATTTAGCCTGAGAGTCTTCTTCGTGTCAGCGACGGCTCTTTAAGGATACTCTCCACCTTTTGCACGGGTATTGCTCTAATGAAGATTAAACGTTTATTGGCGAATGAATCGAATCAATCACTTGTTTTATTTATAGAGGAGATATATCTCTATGCTCAAGCGAAAAAATTTCATGAAATTTCCAGCACCTAATTATGTTATCACACAAATTTTGAATTTTTATGTAAAAATGGTATTTTGGATATTTCTCAACTACCAGAAAGAGTGAGGATACAAAAATGTTGCCACATGTTAAGCACAATATGGACCAAAATAGTGCGTCAGGATTTTTCTTTAAGTTTCATATTTACCGAGAAAAATTGAAAAAAACTGCTAAAAAATCAACTAAATGTACTATCGAAATTATCGATCTCCCTTCGGGAAATCTTCTCAGGATGTGACGTCGCCATAGGTGGCAGCAGATGACATCATGAAGTATATATGTATATATATATACATCAAGATATACATGTATATGTATAAATGTGACTCTCACATATATATGACAATTTACTGAAGCCGAGGCCGCCCACCTGGGGCAGGCCCCCTCGAGTGTAACCCATCACGAACTTCATGATGTCACCTGCTGCCACCTATGATGACATCACATCCTGATGAAGATTTCCCGAAGGGAGAATTTTTCGAAAATTTCGATAGTAGCACTAAGTTAATTTCTTGGATTTAACACAAGATAATTATGAATTCATGACTTCTACATGTTTGTTACGTTGGCAGCGATGACCGACCACATATACCTGACGTCGGAGAAGCTCAGCGTGGACGAGATCACGCAGCTAGTCTCGGCTCCCGACTGCGGGGCCGTCTCGCTGTTTGTGGGTAAGGCTTCATACCCACTGTAAATTTGCGTAACTAATCAGTAGTTTGGTCGAATCTCAAGCGGGAAAAACAAAACCTGCGCGTTTTCAGAATGCCATTTATTATCCGCCCAAAGACCCTGCAGCATTGTGGGATACCTAACTGGGTACCACTAATATGTGACGGAATGAACTGCGTTATATCAACACCGTCGACGCGCTCCACGGAGCTGTTACATCGTGATCAATACAGAACATGGTGCGGCAGAACGTTCGGCTATCGTACGTCGGATTATCTGTATTATCTGTGCTTGTTCTTCGATGTGCAGTCACTTAGGTATGTATTTAAACACAGTTGTTTGTGAGTGATTCTTGTTCTTCCTGACGTGGAATATGTATGTTAACTGTTAGACTTTTAAGTGTTTTTTAAGTGGCAAAAAAGACTTCTGACAGGGTTGAGTGCAGTACATATAAATTTGTGTCACTATTAGGGATTAACGTAAACTGGGCACTTACGAAGATTTTTATTTGAAACGAGATTGCCATTGATTTACTTATCTAATTACTCATGTCCTCAGCAAAATCAAAACGTCGTCCATGTATCCTGAAACAGCTTCTCGTGTCAAGTGTGGTTTCTGTTTGTTATTTAATTCACTGTGGATACATACTGATATAATCAAACGTGCATGAATTTCTAAACGATTTCGTTAATTTAATGTTGTCCAACTCAGCCTCTTCATTAGCAAACGGCAGCTGTAATTAAAGAACTACGGAACAATTCCTACGCCCGCGTATAGTTAAAAACACCAGTGTCATTTTACTTCAAATAGCTGTTAGACAAAAGGGAGGCCAAAATGCTTGGGGCTTTACATCCATTAAGCCATTAACAGGAGGTTAGTATCAAAGAACTTTTCATCGACAGCCAACCGTCGTTTTGTGTAATAGTCAGATGGCGTCCATTATCCGCTCCCCTTTGAGATGCCGCACACCATTTGTTCTCTTTGCCGAGTTTGGGAATGGGAGAGCATGCTGCACTGCACTGTTCTCCACACAAAGCACACTGACGTGTGGTGATTGTGTTCCATTCAACAGGGTTTTCTTGCGATGTAGGCTCGACGCGAGACAGCTTTGAGGGCCGAGTCGTCAAACAGCTGGAATACGAGGCGTACACGCCGATGGCGGAGGCGGAAATGCGCAACATATGCGCGATGCTGCGGGAGAAATGGAGAATCAAACACATCGCCGTGTTCCACAGACTCGGGTTAGTTGTTGGCGAGTGCACGATTGCTTTACATTGAGCTGACGTGTGTTTGTCAGAAGCTGAATGTTGGTAAGAGGACGTGCTGGGTGTAGGGTATATTATGAGAAGTTGTTCCTTCAACCGTCAAAATTTTTATTAAAATTGTGAAAGTAGTATTAGTAGAGTACTAGTTACCCAGATAAGCACATAAACATGGCCATATTGTGAATTTTTAGGTAGAACTAGCCAGGTACCCGACGCTGCTCGGGGGAAAAAACGTGTAGAAACAACTTTTGGAGCAAATTCAGACACATATATTTACTTGATTCTAATGATAGATTCGTGACAGAGAAACAAACAATAAACAATATTGAGACAATTGTGGTAATAACAACATTATTGCATTTCTGTTGTGTCACTGATGCATACTATATATATGTTATTTGCTACAAAAATGTCAAAAACACTGATATTTGTTTGTTTTTATTCATAAAATAGCTGTTTCGGCAATACAGAATATTTATTGGCAATTGTAAATTTCATGTAAATTTACTCATAAAATTATTGCATCTCTGCATTGATCTCTGCCAAGAATACAATGAGTTTTAAGTTTGCTTGTGTGTATGGTTTTTTGCAATAGAGTGGTGCCAGTAATGGAAGCCAGTGTCATTATCGCCGTGTCGTCAGAACACAGGACTGACTCCTTAGAAGCTGTCAGCTTTGCTATCAATGCGCTCAAGTCATCTGTGCCTATCTGGAAAAAGGTTAGTGAATTCTTTTTGCTCTTGGTGTGAGACTTCCTACTCTGCACTGGCAATCTTTACTAGTCAATTTGCAACCTCCCTCAGCAGGCAGTGCTGTTAAACTTGTTCCTTGATTGCCTCTTTTCTCCAAAAAATGACCAGGAGCATAAACTGGTATGGGATGTTTTAGTATACAATAACTCTACATTTTCAGTTTTAGATTTTATATAGCTTTAAATAGCTATATAACACTATAGCCGATTAAAAGGTATACAGTAATAATAAAATACCAATGGTAATTATATTAGGCTACTGTTAAGATATTGGAAACTATTGGAAACTATTTTGAAAATTTGAAAAAATTGGAAACTATTTATTAATTTAACAGTTTATTTTGGCTTATACGTTACTTGTAGTAACAATACACCCAGGCTGTGTCTCATGTGTGCTCTATGGATAGACGGAGTTTTAGGACTAGGTGCGCAAGCACATCTACTGCTCATTAAATCTAAGTGATGAGTCATTTTCATGAAGCTTTATAATAATAGTCATTTCTATATTAGGTGGAATCTAATTAATAGGATATCATATGGGCGATGTAAAAACGCAAAATGACATTTCTTGCAACACCTAGGTATTTTCACAGAAATTTTTTGAGTAAAATATTTCGTGTTGAAGGGCATTATTTGAATATATAGTGTTTGGAAACCGATTACTGTAACTGCATCATTTTTTGCTAAACAGACAGAATTCTCAAATGTGAGAAAAAGTTAATTGCACGTAGTTATTGAACTCTGTCAGATGTTGAACAGGTGTGGTTTTATATACAAACGGATTATATAAAAATTCCGTGTGTTGCTTTATAAATAGGTACTGTTGTAGTTCATTTACTCTTGGTGCTGCATGAGATATACTTGATCTTTATTTAGGTTATGGTTTATTAAATTAATGCTGTATGCATAAAATCTGATGTTTTTAATATCATTGTCATGGCAACTGGTTGCATATTTCAAGGGTTTTATCGATTTTAAATCTACAATTTCCAAGTAAATTACCGAATACCTCCCCACTGGATTCAGTTCATATGCTCTTCTCTGTTTATGTCATAGTAGCTCGTGGTTATGTACAGTAAAATTACATTCTCTGTGACACTGTCACCAGAACGTCATCGCCAGGGCCGATATGTTGCTAGTGAAAAAAATATGATCATTAGTGTGATTGCTACTTCGTGTTATATCTTAGCAGTCCATCTAGTTCGGGTACGTAATGTCCTAGCTTGCCACTCCTACGTAATGACGTCAGTTGCAGCGTCGTCAGATTATTTTGCCCATACTAGTGGTGCTTACCGATGGTGAGCAAATTATCTCGCGTAAACGAACTTCGTGCTTTTTTCATTTACAGTTGATTACACGTGAACTGGCGTGTCGTGTGACGTGTTTGTAGAAAATTATTGGGAAGAGAAAAAGTTATAGATGAGAAATTAGGGAATGGGGGTAGTGAGTGGGAAGGCAGCTTGTACTGACTGGGCCTAAGATAAAATATTGATTGTTTCCCCTTTACCAACCGACTCGCCAAAACGCCGCTACTCGACACATTTTATTGGCCGATTAAAACAAAACAAAAATTATTTTGTTTCGCTAAAAAAAAAAATCAAATTTGTTCCGCAAAAACATATATACAAATATACATACACACATCTTGTCAAAACAAAATGAAAAATATTTTTTACCTACCTACCTACTCGGTACCCTGAGAGGCGAGTAGGTAAAGGGGAAACAAACAATTTTTTAAGGGTGTCCTTATGATGTAACAACTATTCACATACAATGCCAAGTGTCTGCATGGCCAGGTCCATTCAATTTCTAATCGGGTTCCAAACAGCTCTGTTGAAATTTGAGCTGCTATTGTTATATTACATGAATTACGGAGGGAAAGACTTTGTCATTGGATTATTTTTTCAATGGCACACGCGAAATGATAGCCACTGGCCGACACCATTGCTGGTAACAGAAGCTATTGCAAAGAGAGAATACAAAAGGGCTGGCCTCATTAAATCTAATACTGGCTTCATATAGCAGATGTCTAAGTAATTAAAAGCCCATAAACTATAGACTATAGGTTCTTGATTTAGTGTTTAGCCATGTTACTGCTATTGTTATATTACATGAATGGCACATCTGGAAAAAAAAGATCTTGTGGAACTGGATTATTTTCAATGGCACACATGAAATGATACGCACTGGCTTACACCATTACTGGTAACAGAAGCTATTGCAAGAGAAAGAATACAAAAGGGCTGGTCTCAATGAATCTAATACTGGCTTCATATGTCTGATACCCCATACAGACTGCAAAATTTCACCCTACATCAAACTGTTAGCGCGCACCAAATCGTAGCATACAGACACAAAATTTGATCCAACATCAAACTCAGCATGCATGCTCAGTTCAGCTCGCTATGTCACCCCGTAGACAGCTACTGTACATTCATGTGACCTAAAGGCTATGCACATGCGCATTGCGAAATTTGGTGCGCGCTAGGCACCGGGTTGTGTACAGACACAGCTTGGAGCGGGATAACTTGGTCTGGGCCAGGTTATCGCGGGTCTGGCCCTCCTTCATTAGTGGGGCCAAATTGGTGCGGGCCAGCACGTATTTGGAGCAGGATAGCGTGTACACACTGCACAAATTTGACGCGCGCCTGGCCCGGACCAGTTTGATGTAGGATCAAATTTGCAGTCTGTAGGGGGTATAAGTATAACCAATAGACCATAAACCACCCCCATGGCATAGACGTACTACCTATTGCAGTAGTAAATTTCATATATATACGAGAAAGGCCAAAGTATCTTTCTTCCACCCCGGGTATATTCAATTATAGGGTATAGTGGGAATGGATGTGAAAACGACACGTGGGAGGTAATGACACAGTAATGTTGTCAATGCTTTCATTCTGCTTTTATTTTTCAAGTGGTTTCGTTTTATGTTTTCTCCAGTAACGTTTTGTAACCATAATATTTCCATATGCCCTCATTATAGTCGGTGTGTATATATTAGCTGAAAATTCAATTAATGGCTGGCAGAAAATATCAACTTTGTAACGTAGTTTGCATGAAAGCTGTTGAATCCCGATTGTAGTATAAACAGCAAACCAGCAAAGTATATAAGCTATTTTTTCAAACCTTTTTTAAAGTTGTGTTCTTTATTCGCATGTGATGGAATAAAGATGACACTGGCTGCATTGGTTAGTTTGTGTGCGTGCATATGAAGATGTGTGCTTGTGAGTGTAAATGCGCGTGAGAGTGCATGCGTGTGTATATAGTAAAAAAAAACAATCTCACTACCACTACTGGTATAGTTTTTTTATTTGATAGTACTGTATGCGGCAGTCTGGTAGGGCTATCACTTAGGGGTACGTAGCCAGGTTTTATGTAGTAATTGCAATACATAAAACATTTAATTGAATGAAGAATGGCACTTACATAATAGCATTTTTAGAAAGTTTTCTCTGGTTTGAAGCCTATGATAGAATAAGCACGGATACCATAAGAGAATATTCCACGAGTGCACGCGCCTTCACACATTCGTCTGCACATGAATATACGATATTCCCACAGTAATAACCATATATTAGCTTTCTGCTGATTCCAATATATATCAGGAGTAAGTTATCTCAAAGATTATTAATAAATTATTCGAGATTATTTATTCCTGATATATATAGAAGTAAAAGCACACGAACACCCATGCAGAAATATGTATACGTCATTACCTAATCGTATATGAGCAAAAATAGAGCATATATATCCATTATTATGGTTGAGCACTTCTGTGATTACCTCCTCGGTGAATGGCCATATTAGACTGATTAGTCAAGATTAGTCATATTATGGTAAATTATACGTGTGCTCGCCTTTGCACACATTCCGATTGCTAACATATGTTCATGTCATTAATTTACACTGTCATTTATGTGACCTTGACAGCTATGCTATGTTCTTTGTGTGGTCTCTAACGATATTATTTTGGTGCATGGGTTTGAATAAGTGTTGAATTTCTCATGAATTTCATTAGTTCACTTCTTCATTGTGTGCATGCTACGTGGATGCACGCGTTCAGTTGCATTCTGCAGATTTTGCCTATTATTGCCTTTGTTTTTGTTCCAGGAGATCTATGAGGAAGGTGTAGCCGAGTGGAAGGAGAACAAAGAGTGTAAATGGAGGAGATCTTCATCACTGACGACCTGAGAGGTGCTATTTACACAGTGTCGACAGTAGTGCATTTCATCTAATCAGACAGGTGGATGCTTTTACTACTATTATTCTTGTTACCAAAAATATATCACTTCAATGATTAATTCCCGTGCCGCTGAATGGTATGTAGACTGGTGCACATCTTTGCTGATGCTGATGTGGCGACTGATATTTTTTGAGGCAGTTATTTCTATCAGTAGTGATATATTTTTGATATTACCAAGCATCTATGGATAAGTGTAATTAGGACTTCGTTTTGGTTTAACTGTTGATGAATAGTGTGATGGTATGAAACACATTCTACTCACAGTCATCGAGCAACTAATAGCAAATCAAGTACAAGAAAATGGCAGGCATCGGGGCACTATTCTCCCACTAATGTTAACCAAAGTGCACTGACAAATCCTGATGTGTGCATGGATATAGCAGAATGAGTGTTAGGACACATTATGCAGTCCATACTGTCTTATTATTTACGAGAATAAGACTTGGCAGTGTACAGCTCATTTAATACTTGTTACTGTATTTATTACTACTCATAAATAACACTTTTTATTTGGTATTATTCATTTTTATCCTAGTTTAAGATTTGGACTCGAGTAATAATCGTTCACTGTCACAGGCATATATTGTTTCTTTGACTTTAATTTGATTATAGAGCTGGTTTACTATCTATTGCTACTCCAACACTACTAATTCCAGATTTGAAGAAAGTCGTAACGATCTATATTATGTTTATGTAGTCATTGTAAAAATCAAAATCACAAGGCTGCTTGGTCAAATAGAATTATGCTCATGATTTTTTTTCCGTTAATGATCCCTAACTAACGAATAAGAAATATAAGGAAAAATCATTGCTTGTGTAATACCGAAATAGTCATATAATACAGATATATGATAATTGCATAATAACCGAAGGTAGTCGGTGGGCGCGCGGCGGGGGGTGGCGGTTGTTGTATGTGCTGTTCCTTACAATTTCCCACTTGAAATAACCAGGGATGCTTAGACTTGTCTCAAGTTGTTTGTCTGAGACAGCCGTAATCCACCAGAATGGAAATAAATCAGTCTAGCAGAGAAAACTTGTTCAGTAACGATGCATAATATATTCTACAGGATGAGCTGAAAGGGAAAGAGGGATCATTGCTACTGTTTATTTGATGGTTGTTGGGGGTGTTATCTGCACGAAAATCATGATTGTATTACCAAAGTGTATATCGGGGTAGTTTCCTTTGTGGTTGAACGAGAGAAATGCGGGTCGAGAGAAATGAGATTAACCCTAACGCGTAAATGGTTGTTATTTGCAAAAGTGTATAACTGCACTGGTTGTTAAAAATCAGGTGTAGTTTCGGAATGATTATAAGCGTCAAAATCAGGTACATCATTTTGCCTAGAAATTGGACCCGTGTTGCTAATGGATACTCTAACACACAGCTTGTAGCCGTGAAAAATATGTTGGACATCAAAGTGTAGCATTATAAAGGTAGAACTATAGCTGTATTACTGATGAGTCATGCATTCATCATCTTACCATAATCTATTGGGATGTACTGCTTAGATCGTGTACTTACGCGTGCATTATGTAGGATTTTGTATTGAAACTTTAAACCGTTTCCCGCTCTTATTACTATTACAAAGCCGAAACGTAAATCATCAAATATCTGACAAGAAGAGAGCTCGAAAATCCAATTTTCTGGGTGTAGCAGTCATAAATTTATAATCAAAGCACTGGCTGCCAGACAGGCAAACAGACAGACAGATACTATGAAAGCCCAGAAGACTCATTAGAAATCCGAAATTCTACTTTCGAGTATAGCCAACGAGTTGAACCCGCATTCTAATTGGTCAGCTGAGGTGTTGAAAGTAACACCAAGGATATACACAACAACACCTTGCTAACACATAAAGTGATTGGCTAAAAACGCTCTTTCAATTTCCAATTTCCAATTTTCAGTCTTCACTTGGTCTTCTGAGTTTTCATATGAAATAGAGATTTAGATAATCTTACACAGGCACGCATTTTAGATTATGTCTATTTTTTGGATGTTAACGGGACACGATCTGGCATTTACAGGTGCTGCGAGGGAGTACGTGTAAGTTTCCCACATATATGCAAATATTATTACCAAGCTGGTCGTTATAAAAACAGCATACAGAAGCCGCATCTATCACTAGAGGGCGCAGTTCTGGGCCAGACTGAGAGTGCCTGAGAGCACCCAAATGCCAGATATTTATTCTAATATTTACCACAATATCACAATACTGATTGATGAAGACCACAATACTGATATTTATAGAGGCATGTCTACCTGCATTTATGCATTCACGTAGTTAGCCCCTACATTGACAGGTATGACGGCGCAGCATGCGCGAAGAGCTATCAATACCTAGCTATCAATACCTAGCTATCAATACCTAGCTATCAATACCTAGCTATCAATACCTAGGTATTATTCACTCTTGATATCATATATGTAGGAATGGATGTATGTCACATGAATGGAGGCAAATAATGAACGGGGATGAAACCACTGGCGAAATAGCAGCGAAATACAGTGACTAACAGCAAATCAATCACTCTTATATGCAGCACTCTTCTGCGAATATCTTTAGTAGACAGCCCCTGCGACATTTTTCCGTCGTGTGCACATTGTTGGCGGGATCTTCGCGTGCGTCTCCATCTCGTTAGGACACTAAAGTGGATATAGAGTTGGACGTAATTACATTGGGCAGAAATTGCCGAAAAAAAACGACACGCGTGATTCAATTCAGATCCGGTCTAATTTGATATCTACCGTACATAATGGCGTTCGGAAATAAAGGTGGCCGACGACGCTTTGCGCGTAGGTTGCCAGTCGCATCGCCAGCGACTGAATTAAGCTAGTAGCAGCGACAACCATCGAAGGGCAGTCGTAATGACCAACACAGGAAGCTTGTGGCGTTAGCACGCGGTTGGGGGGGGGGGGGGGTCTGCCAGAGGGAAGGTAAGCAGGAGGGGGAGGAGAAGGAAGGGAGGAGGAGTGGAGGTGTGGGGGGGGGGGGGGGGAGGGGTGGAGTCACGAACGGCGTGTAATGTCATTAGGCATTAGTCTGTAGTCTGAGGGCAAACCGACGACGTCGTCGGATGGTTAGGAAGGGTGCCCGCGGCGACCTTGCAGAGCGTGCCTATGCAATCTTACGCTCGTGTTTAATTAAACGCGTTCTAATTAATCGCTGGCGGTTTCCGTGACGTACAATACGTTATTGCCATGTGCCCCCGCTCCCCGCCCACACACACGCACGCACGCACGCACGCACGCACGCACGCACGCACGCACGCACGCTTACACACACGTACGCACGCACGCACGCACGCATACACACACGCACGCGCACGCACACACACACACACACACACACACACACACACACACGCACATCTTACTGATCCTATCCCTCCCGGGGGGTACGACACTTAGGATCTGTGCGCGTGATCGCGATACGTGGGCGCACTTACGAGGGGTCATTACCTGAAGCCAGTCCGAGCCTTGTTTTTTTTTCGTCACTGATAACCGTGTGTTTAGAGAAATTATGTTTAAGCAATCTCGGCTTGGGTTTTAACCAATGGTGGGAGCGAATTTCCCAATTACATCCATCTACATATTGCATCCCAAATCAGAGATCACTCATTGTTGCTATTGTTGACATAATATGTTGACACGGATGTGTGTAAATGTCATTATTAGAAGTAACGTGATGAAATTGTATGAGATTGTTTGCATGTTGTATATGGAAGGAAAGCGGAATAGTAATGCAAACGTGCAATTGCCAGTGATTGTAATTTGGTATATAATACAGTACATAATAATATCAAGTGGGCAAACAGACAAATCTTTTAATATATTGGGAGAGAAAAAGAAAATGGACGAAGAATGTGCGTGCGATATGTCAATAAGCACGTTTTTTTTTTTTTCCTTCGTATGATATTGAGGGTATGAAATGAAGCCGTTCGGCCGTGAGGCGCAATTATACTGCTTTCATAATGGCACATTCCACTGAGGGCAGAAGTGACTGGCGCTGGTGGCTGGCTCTGCTGTTTGCACCTGTGCGCACCACTGCTGTACTGCGCTGCCGCACACAGCCTCCTGACGCACACACCTGCCAACACTACTATAGGCAGAGGTTAATAATGAAAATTGTCATTTTAAGCCTTGATACTAGCAAATCCTGCGTGTTTAGCCATTAATGGCATAGTGTCAGCGGTAAGTAACTATCCGGAGACGCCTGCATGAGTTCCGATGGCAAAGTTAGGAAACTGTAACCGTACCATTTGCAGCAATTCTTGTTACGAATATGCGAGAAATACACAAAATAACGGAGGATGTGACAATAATATTCAAACTTATGGGCTGTTCGATAAGGCTGCGGCACCCTGAGCGGAAATGTGGCAATCTAACCGCCGCGTGGGATATTAAGGACGGCAACGGACTTTAAGGTCGGGTAGTACGGCGGTTACGCGTACCTTCCGCGCTCTGCTCTTCTGCTTCTCTTCTGGATCGTCTCTCTCTTCTGCTCTTTCGTCTCGTCTCTTCTCTCTCTCCTCTCTCTCTCTCTTCGTATGTCGTAGCTTTACGTGAAGATGCGCAGACGCTAAGATAAGCCGTTCATGTATCGTAGTATAGAGCTCATTACATCGGATAAGGCTAAATTAGGTATTTACGCTGTCATCGCCACTTCACGATAATGCACCGGTTGTACCTCATTAGTCATCGTACTCACAGTAGCGACTTTTAGGTAAGCGACTATACAAATCCAAAGCGGCTGCGGGTATCTACATAACAGCGCGAATAAAATCACGCGGAAGCGCAAGTCGGCAAGGCCGTTACATTAGGGCGCCCTAGGGTCAGTCATCGCATATCAGAAAGAGTTCTCGCATTCTGCATGGTAGTAAGGATTGATTTTATGTGCTGAGAGAGTTGGGGACACGTTATGTAGCAGCTGCGTGATGTATGACGCTAGGAAAGAGACTAATGCATCTAACGTAGATATATATATATATATATTATAGTATATAATTATTTATATGAAGAGTCATAATAGATCGAATTATAAATGCTCTAATTTCTTTTCTCCGAATTTGCTATTATGGATTCTATATATGGTTATATATTATA